CCGAGGGCATTCAAGGCCACCCCTGATTTGGTGACTTCATTTTGAACTGTTGTGTTGTTTAACTCTTTCATTGAAATCACAGGTCTCATAGACTGACATATTGTCACACTCGTGGCAGACTACAGTGTAAAGAAGAGTACAGAAATTTCCGCTTGGCAGCTTATTCTTCCCATTGACTAAAGCATTCCTTAGCTTCTATGTTGGTACATGCACTATTTTGATGTATGTTCCTTCTACATATCACATACCATATCTGACTTTCCAAGCACAGCATTTCTCACATCGGTAAATTTGGGCATATTAGTCGTGGCCACAAATTCGGCTTGGCTTGAAGGCCTTTTAGTTAGGTGCTTATGTTAGAACTGTCATCACAAGACGTTTGCTAGGCTATGTCTTGCCTTGTATAATATTACTGCTATTATTATTATTATTGGCGATGCAGCTGCAAACGTCCTCCGCTATGCACTTATTGCAGATATTGCAAGAGTAGCACGCTCTCTTCTCCTTTCATTTCCTTGAGATGGTGTTATTAAATCCTTGAGTATTTTTTACCATTATGTTCATAGAAGAGTACGTAAATGAAGGTAGCATGAAGGTAACCAAAACACGCAACTTAGCTTTACAAAAAAAGCCTACTGGCTTTTTCAGCTTGCCTTTGTTGTACATAGCCTGGTCACTCCTCACAACGGTGTTCATGCTGTCTTAGACGCATCTGGAAGCTAAGTTGCATGTTTTGGTTGCTGACAAGGAAGGCTTCTTTTCAACTCTAGATGGCTCTATGTATAATGATAAGGTAGCCACTGGTTTGGAAAAAAGCTGAATAAATCATTTTCTGAGCAACTGCAGCCAATCAATTTATGTGAATGGACATGCCTCTTCACTTTCACATGCGAAGTCTGGTGTTCCCCAGGGATCAATCATGCGACCAGTTTTTTTTCTCATTTACATCGACATTGGACATGGTTTGTCATCTACTATCAAATTTTTTACATACAACTACATCATTTATAGAAAAATTGACAGCACCCAAGCTAACGCCTCATTATAGTTGGACCCTAATAAACTCGCATTTTGGTGTCACCATGGCAAATTAACACTTCCAAAACGAAGGCCATGACGTTTATAAGAGGACATAAAACAGAAATGAGTCAATATGAAATTCAAGCTTTCCCCATTGAAAAAGTATCCCTATTTTAATATCTTGGAATTCATTTATCTTTTGACTTGCCTTAGAATAAGCGCATCGATATCATAACTAGTGAGGTGTCAAAAGCACTTGGATTTATTAAAAGAAACCTTTACTTGGTGAACTATACCTCTAAAATGCTAGCATACACTACACTTGTCCGTTCAAAGATAGATGTTGTAGACCCGTGTGCTCAGATTTGGGTGCACGTTAAAGAAGCCCAGGTGGTCGAAATTTCCGGAGCCCTCCACTACGGCGTCTCTCATAATCATATGGTAGTTTTGGGACGTTAAACCCCACATATCAATCAATCAATCAATCAATCAAGCGTTCAAAGATAGAATATGCATCCATCATCTAGAACCCACATCAATCATATCTCATTGATTAACTAGAATCAATACAAAATGAAGCAGCAGAATATATCACCAAGTAGTATTCTCACAACTGAAGCACTACAGATATTACACACTCACTTTCATTACCCCTTCTTGAAAAACGCAGACTGTCGTCACTGTTGTTGCATTTTCATACATTTTATCATAGTATATGTGCCTTCATGAAGCTTGTACAAACACACCTCATAATATTTTGAAACATATTGATCACCAATTCAAAATACACCCTTTTTGGCACGTGCAATTATGTATCAACACTCACCATTACTTCAAAGCACACATCACTGGAACACACTGCCGGGCGACATCGCTTGATTGAATAAACATGCCGCCTTTGTAAACCAATTCAATATTTTCTTGGACATATGACTTACCTATCTGTGTGAGTTTGTAAGTGCATGTATGTGCTTATTTTTATTCTTCTTTCATTGTAGATATATTTTCTCCTTAATGATAATAGTCTTGCTTGGGATACTCCAACGTAAAAATTTTGGTCTGTCTGTCAGCAAAAAGGCTCATGTACGACCACATACAGAGCATCCACCAGTATTGCTCAAGTTTCTGCGTTCATACTTGTACGATTGTCAATAAAAAGCAAATATTGAGCATATTTGAGGCACAATATCAACACGTCGACATTGTGCACTGTGTTTATTTATACTAGAAAAGGTATAAAGAAGTAATTCTAAGCACTGCAGCTGACAATGCGACACTTCGCACGAAAAGGCGAGTCTCCTACGCTTTGCTAAGACGATACTGTGCTGCTACCTGTCTTGAAATCTACAAAATGTGGCCTCCAAGATTGCACGCATGCTGCGTGCTCGCTATAACAAAGGCCATCCTTTCGTTTTCTGAAATTACCGCCAGATGGCGCTCATGTCTGACGCAACACCTCCAGGATCCCATTTACCCGTTTTCTCGTGCAAAACATCAAATAAATATTTCTGTCTATTCACTCTTTTCAGGCAAAATACAATAGTTTTTCGACGACATTTTTAGTCTAATATGCAGATAGGGGGCAATTTCTTTCATGGCAATTTTCTGTATATATTTTTTCGCACTACAGCTGTGTCTCTCTTATTGACTTTTCATTCCTGCCACAATTTTTTTTTCCTTTTGCAGCTTTGTCTATGGAACTTTGTCTATGTATTTTACTTTGTTTATCACTTTAATTTTATAATGGCAATGTTCTGATTTGCAAATTTATTGTATAACTAAAACATATCATTCTGAGCACGTAATAAAGTGCATAATGTGTGTACTTTGGTGGATAGAGCATTGTGTCAGCAGCCAGGGAAAGGGAACAAATGTGTCTCCAGTCATGTCCACAGATATGCTCCTTGCACTACTGGCGTGGTTTGTGGGATTCCACTGTCTTGCAGCTGCGAATATTTAGGTGAAATGGGGCATTACATAAACCTGCGCTAAAGAGAGCGTGAGCTAATGCTATCAGATGCTAAAATCACGTCTAATTTGGCAGCTCGTTGTAAGCCATGTGGATGTGTGCTCAGGGCTGGGCAGAGATGCCCGAAAAAGTATTCTGAAATACAGATATCGAAATGCGTGGTTTGGAAGCATAAAATACAGATACTGAGATAAATTTGTAATTCATGTGACAGGATATTTCAGGGATACGTTTGCAAAAACACAAAAAAGTATTCCAGATTACATATACTAAAACACTTTTGTCTATGTCGGGGATAGTTATACTCCATACAAACATTTGTTATGTGCAGCATAATATTTAAAATGTGCAGCACATTGAAACTTGCAAATGAAATTGATTTATTATATTTTTGCCATTTTCCGAGTGTCATTAAGGCATTACAAAAGATGCTTACACTGCACATAATTGTTAATAACCACATATTTACAGATATCAGTTGCAATAAAAAACTATGCCATATGAGAGCATCAATCACATGCATTGTACACTAAAATACAGAACTCAAGAGCGACAGTATTAGTTATGCTAGAAGGAGCATAGTTCAAGCGAAGTGCTGGAACCATAAACAAACGAACTTCCAGTTGAAGGTTTAGCGTTTTCTAGAAACATCTTAGAAAAGGCAGAAAGAATTAAGAACAGACAAAACAAGGAATGCGAAAGGAAACTCAAAAAGAGCTCTTTCGAATCGCTGTTTGGCCATGCTGGCGTTTTCCAGAAATGCTCTGCAAAAAGAAGTATCGTAGATGGCACACAACACCAAATTCTTTGGGTGGTTTGTGGCTTCCGCAGTAAGCTCCAGTTTTTCAAATGAGCGCTGCAAAATAAAAGTGAAAAAAAAAACGAAAAAAAACAATCACTACTCGTTCAATTGGCATGAGAAAATATATTTAAGAAATGGCGCCCATTGTGCAGTATACAATACTCCTCACAATGAAAATATCTGCGCTGGAATTCAATATAGCAGTATAACATTGTTGTCACGCTGAAGCAGGCCATCATTTCAACACAATCCAGTTCTGCCTGAAGGAGCACAATGGGATGCAGGTAGTAAAGCAACTAGCTCGCTTTCAAGAAGGTAGGAGTCAGTTTCGCCCTCAGCAGAAATGTAGAAATGGTGGGTGCATATCTTGCCGTGGACTGCCAAGGTCACAGCAGAAATTTTTTTCCCCATTGTCAACACGTCTCAGCTTATTTACGAAAAAAAAAGTAACGGGATACCCGTGTCCTGGATAGTATCGTGATACATGCGATACACCGTAAAAGTATTTCACTGCTCAGATACAAATACATTTTTGAAAAGTGCCTCGATACAGCAATGAAGACGCTCAGAAGTGTCTCTTAAATACTATTGCGATACTACCCAGCCCTGTGTGTGCCCCACTTGTAGAAAACAAATACCAAATATTGACATGTTGATTAGCGCATGTGTGAAGTAGCCGAAGCATTTTTCATTACATTTAACAACAACTGCATAAGTATTTCATGTAACACTCATCTAGATGAAGAACATAAGGTCTTAGAGAAGACATGAATCATTCTGTGTTGTAACACATGTGTACATGTGCACAGTTTTGATGAGTCAATATTTTCTATATATGTTCTTTCCTTTTACAAATAAATTTCAGTGGTGAAATCAGTGCTGAGACCCTCTCTGACTGCTTCTAATCCCTTTCTTTGTATAATATTCTACGGTGAACACTAACCAATTTGCCTAACTCACGATTCTGCATCTTTTATTTACCTATGGAATCGGGGAAGCTATTGCGGTCTGACAGATTCCTTTTTTTCACCCCATATTCAAACATCAGCGCTTCAAACGCTACCCCAGCTTTTGTTGCAGGTGTCTGAGCACTTTCATTGTGCTCCACGTGTCATAACCCAGAGAAATAAAACACGAACAAGCATGTGTGCATTGTGTAAAAAAAAGAGAGTGAAAGAAAGGATAAAGTAAATTTTGCTGTACGGTTTCGTTGTTGCGACGTTGTTAGTCGTTGTCAAGACAAGGTTGCATGAAATACGTAAGTACTCCTTTTCGCTGAAAATTATATGTTAGACATGTACAAATGAGACGGGGATGCAAATCATTAGTTAATACAGCAGTCTAGGTCAAGGTAATCTAATCCAATCCTAAATGGCCTGCAGGCTATAGCCATTATAGTGAATTAGAATGTGCTCCAGTAAGCCAACTGGCCGGGCTGCTGCATCCTTGTTTTATATGAATGCCGGGACATAGTGCCACCTTAACGTTTCCTAGCAGCATTGGCTGCACTGTTGGACTATCGCAGGCTCCTTCAAACTTGCAGCTGCAGTTGATTTTATTTGTGTGGTTGTGTTCTGGTTGTTCCGAAAAACAAACAGCCAACTTCCTCAGTGCCTGGATCACAAATTTTGTTTTGACCAGATACACACATTTTTTTTCATATTTACCACATACACTCACAACATTATGAGTGTGTATGCAAAATGTGCTCATTTGTTTTATATGACTCATATCTTATTTTTTTACCGCTGAAGTGTTCTTTCCACCGCACATTTTTTCAAGCAGACATTATGGTCATGGATTTTGCTTTTAATATATGTGAAAAACCTGGAAAAATCACTAAATTTGAAAAAAATTGAATTTATAAACACCCTGCTGTGGCTTTGCTAGCAAGTATGTTAGGAAACAGACACATGTGCAGTATGGAAGTGTGCAATGTCACAGTAATGTACTGTCAAGAAACGTCACTTACCTACGCTTGAAATACTTTTCTGACCTCCCAAGTTTCAACAGATGTGTCAATGACACATCACTTCTTTCCTAGCATGAAATGCTTTCAAGAGTCCACATCTATCAGGACCCCTGCTTGTGATCTTTTTCAGGTATTTAATCTGAACTGACATGCCCTACTGCTTGCATACTTGCACAACAATCTGTCAAATTTGTTTATACACTCTTAACAGCCTATAAATTCACTACTAACAGCACCCCCTCTACTCTTCCAGTATAGGCCAAAAGGGTGATTACTTACAATACCATGCTTGTGGAACATTACTATCTATGAATCTTACAATTGTTTGGTGAACAATATTAGGAGACCCTCAAGGTTTGAGTAGAACACAACAGTGATATCCTATCCCCAGTGCATACTCCAACCACCTAGTGCATACTTTTTGCAGGGTAACATTACTTGAAAAGCTTATACTGCAGATTATTACTACGTAATCAATGTTTAAAGTGGCTTGTACTAGTAAGGGTTTCGCATATAGTTGCAGTCTGCGTAGAGAATTTCTAAATGGTGGCTTAGCGAGCTTGTTGATAGGTAAACATAGTTACTTCGAAGAGCGCGGAGATGGGACACAGGATCGACCACGCAATACAGGTACTGGGTAGTATGCTTTAAACGACGAGCAACTATGTGCATGAAATGTTTTTAAACTTGATAAGCACCCAGTACATGGTTCCAAGAGAATACTCCAGTAGTATTTGTGCCTTTTGTTATTCGTGGCTGGCTTTAAACAACTAAGTCGTTATGATAATCACACGTTCTGATGGCCAGTGGCAATGCACATTTGTACCATGAAATACTGCGATATTACATGTTATATTGTGAAGCGTGTATACAAGACGTGTGTATTTGTAAAGCATGAAAATTATTTTTGAGCAGGCACGTGGCTTTGTGGTAGAACGCCTGCTTGCCACACAAGCAGCTTGGCTTCTATTCTCACTCAGACATAGAAGGTTTTATTTGTTATTCTTTTTATTTTCATGTTTTTATATCATGGACCAGATGTAAAGTGAACATGGAGAATTTCATGCACCAAAAAAATGCCAACACTGCAGCTGTACAAGTGGAATCACACTTGTCCAGAGCAGCGGAGCGCAAGGCTCTTGTTAGCGACGGCTTCTATGTCACCTTAGCTACATGCTTCTGTTCACGCTTAAATTATCGCACAAAGGCCTAGCACGCCGTATGCCATGTTAGATATTCATACGGCGTCGGCATTAACATAATTCTGCAGAAAACAGCAACTGGAGTGGTCGGCTGGGTGTTTTAGACAAGTGTGATTCGATCTGTAGAAATAGTAAGTGATTTAACACTCCAAGTTTAATTTTGTTGTGTTCGATTCAACAGTCATGATTTGCAAAGCTGTATCTTTTTTAAAAGTTTAATACTGTTTTAAAATGTTAAGTACACCAAAATAAAAGGAAAACTTATGCAACAGTATGATACACAGCATCTGCCCTGGCACATTAAAAGAAAAGACTTGAGAAGTTGTGTAGTGCAGCTGGCTACTCAGCTCCAGGAATGTGCTTGTATCAATGAATACTTACCCTTTCTAAACGGTTCTGTGGATTTCGAGGGCCTGATTATTTCCTACGGCCAACCAATTTTTTTATGTACATTTCTTTTATGTCACTGGAAAGCTCGTAATTCAGAGTGTCTAATCACGCATTGGCAACACAAAAAAGGCAATGAAACAGTTTTCACCAAACGTTGTTGCTGATGGAGTCTTTTATGCAACACATGTTGAAAACAGTGGCCTACAGCTGTTCACTGCATTGGTACCAAATTCTGCCATTACAGAGTGCATGAGCGAAATGCCGGAGAGATGGTGTGTGAATGCACTGTGGTTCAATGCAGGTTTTTTGTTGCTGTGGAGGAAGCTCCACTGCTGAGAATCAATTTCTTAACCTTTTGATGGTTATTAGGATGAATGCATCCCACTTTTTCCTCAGTAAAACTTTCTCTGCCACTTTATTTTGCCATCGGCACAATGCCTTCCAGCTGTGGTGTACCAGAAACATGAAGGAAACTGAGAAACTATATATTGCACATTTACAATGCATGGTATCAGTGATACGTTGAGCTTAAAATCCTTTATTCTGTTAATATTTTTTTCAGCTGGTGTCATATTAGGTACCAGGTAGCTAAAGTTTAAAATTTATGGTATTCTTCTGTTCAGATTTTTTAGAGAATTTTAGCGTGCAACTATAGATTTTCTTTCTAAATTGCAAAAATTATATCTGCCTAAAATCATTGCGGAAGTGCACTCGAATGAAAAATGAAGCAGTTCCTTGCATAGCCTACAACATAGCATACATGCATAACTGTTTTTCATGTTTGATGGATGTCAGAAAACATCACATTCTTTGATATTTTTTATCATTATGAGGAGAGGCTATGAGACCAAAAGCTCTGGCTGAGACACTGTTGCTAAAATTTCGAGCCAAAGAAAAATATGGCAAAATTGCTGCTTCATACAGCCAGGAAGCCAAAGAGAACACGAATACTCAAGATCATCAAATGATGCAAGATATATAAAAAAAGCAAATATGTCACACCTTAATAAAGCTCACGAATATGATGCAGCATTTGTAAACGCACTTACAGCATTCAGTGCATTGACACCACGTCGAAGTGGCTTGCCATGAATCATTACCACAATTTTAATTATTTGTGAAAATGCAGGCTTAACTGAGATGTTCGCCCTTATCCATTCCAGATACAAGACAAGACATGCACAGACACAGCTTCGTTAAATGTGAATGAAAAGCAATATTCTCATTTTTTTTATTTTCATATGAATGCGTGCACTCATGTATGCCTGCTGTTTTCTCCTTGTTTTCGACGAGTTTCAATATTATTGACACCTACCGACAAGACAGACACAAGCTGAAAGGGTACGTGTATGTGAAGACCTTGGGACAGAGCCGCTAGACTCAATGCCACAGGAAGAGGCACAGAATTGAGTAGAAAATCCGAAATTAAGGTTCACTGCAATTTCTTTTCCCACAGTTCTAGAAGTGTTCCTCTGTACTGCTTCCATTGGGCCATTTTGGGCAAGAAATTTTGCAGCAGAATTACAGCTTAGTGCTTTTATGAGACCGCGTGACATGTGTTGCCCCACTTATTCAAAGATGTTTCATGGGTCGATGAGCCACATGCGTCCCACTTTTTTCTCATAAATTGATAGCCATATTTTAGTGAAGATTGTGTCACACTATTTTCAGGCATAAAGTTCTGCAAATTTCTGTTTTTATGTGAAAAATTTCGATGAACTTACGAAGGGTAAGTTAAACTACATAATAAGCAAAATTGAAAGTGAGAATGCGATATATATACTATATAATTTTAAGCCAGAATAACGATTGTCTGAGCTGCAGCAGGCAACGTGGAGAAATTCTACAGAACTCGATACTAAGCTTTTGCCATGAAGCGGTGCAATGGCACAGCTGCTGTGATTTTCAAACACCATTTCAAAATACATATACAATTCAAATTACTCAAGGGAAAGGGAGCTTGACTTTATCATACTTCTGCATGTTTCCAAATAAAGAAAGATCTATTTACACTTTCTGGCCAGTTAATTGCTGTACCCCTAAACAGACATAAAAGTGAAAGCCATGACATTTGGTAGTCTAACAATGGACCTAGGGAAATCAACATCACACGAATGTGATTTGGCATAAGCTTTAAAAGCTTATTCAATCAGTCATACATTGTTACCCTTTCATGTATGTTTTAACGCGATAGTTTTAAAAATCTTGTGGGCATCGTTGATTGTGAGTGATGAACCTTGTGAGCAACCGGAAAAATAAAAAAAGGTGCAAATAAAATAAGTAATAAAAATTTTCCAGTTTGCGGGAGGATTAAGCCCAGGCCGTTTGCATGGCAAGCAGGCGTTCTACCGCACAGCCACACATCTACTTGGAAATTAAGGAAAATAACTTCATCTGCTTGAAAATGCAGTGAAAATAACGTTAGGCTTTGCAAACACATGTGTCCTGTATACTGCCTTCACAATTCAATATGTAATATTACAGTAATATTTCTTGATACAAGTGTGCATTGTAATCAGGCATCAGAACGTGTGATTATCTTAAGGACTTCATAGTTAAAAGGTGGCCAGCCATAACAAAACGCACACATTTTGCTGCACACATTTCCTTCAGACCACATAGTGAGTGCATACCAAGTTCGAAAAGATTTCATGCACCAAGTGCTTGAAGTACGCACTAGGGCCAGGGTATCGT